GGGTACATGGACCCTTAGGGTAGGGCCCTTTGGGCTATGCCTTATTTTAGGCCTAAACCCTAAACCCGAAACCAGAGCCCTTTGGGCTATGCCTTATTTTAGGCCTAGGGTTTACAATCGAAGGTTTGGAGGTTCGAGGCTCCGGGACTGAAGGTTTGCAGGTTCGGGGTCCAGGAGGACAACCTGAGCACGGTTAAGGTTTAGGGTTTAGCGTTTAGGGGTTTAGGGTTTAGGGTTTAGGGGTTTCGGGTTTAGGGGTTAATGGGGATACTTCCCTAAATCAGAATAGCAGTTCCTTACATAGAGACCCGACATTCTACTATATAGGCCCTAAACCCTTAAGCCGTAAACCCTAAACCCTATAAACCCTTAAGCCCTAACCCCTAAGCCCTAAACCCTAAACCCTGAACCGTAAAACCCATGCCCCTAAACCCTAAACCCTAAACCCTAAACCCAAACCCTTAAACCCTAAACACCCTTAAACCTTTAACCCTTAAGCCCCACGGCCAGGCCGGCAGATGGGATATTTAGACCCGCGGCAGTTTCCTGAGGGGCGGCGGGCCCAGGATCGTGTCAACGTCGGATCGACCTTTAGGGTTTAGGGTGTCGGGTTTCGGGTTTAGGGTTTAGGGTTTAGAGTTTAGGGTTTAGGGTTTCTGGTTTCGGGTTTTGGGTTTTAGAGGTATGGGGTTTAGGGTTTAGGGTGGTTCAGGGGTTTAGGGGTTTAGGGTTTAGGGTAGGAATTTAAGCTCTATTCAGCGGGTTCCTGTTCCAGTTTCTATAAAGTATATCGAACGGTTTGGTTGAGGGCTTGTGTTTGTTCAGATTTGTTAAAGGTTTTGGGGCCTCTGGTTCTAGCATTATTAGGGATTTTAGGGTTTAGGGTTCAGGATATGTTTGTCTTCTGTTCCGGGGTTACTCTACGTGGGTTTACTCGCGCATTGGGATTTTTGTGTGATGGCCCTGAAGATATTTACAACGGTTTCACAGGCGTGTCTTATTATGCGGGTTGGCCTAATGAGAGGTAGCCTCGTTAAATACTCTGTAGGTGTGTAAAATATAAAAGGTTTAAGACGATTGTGTATTTTGATAGTTTTTACATTATTTTTTGGGGTCCTGATTCTAAGGGTGCCGTATTATAATGGGGACCTACAAAGGGACCCAAATTTCGAGAACTCCCCTAAACCCTAAACCCTAAACCCTAAACCCTAAACCACCTGTTTGCTTCGGCTCCTCTAACAGGGCTTCGGGTGTGGGACTCGATGGATCCGGGTCCGATGCCATGGGGATTGGATGTAATGTAGCGGCCTAAATAATTACCTATACCCCAAAGGCTCCATGTACCTTCATAGTAGATACTTAAGCCCTAAAGTACCTATATAGAGACTCCTTTAAGGCTTAAGTACCTACTATAAAGGTACATGGAGCCTTTGGGTACTGATTATTATGGGGGGGTTCCTTATTATACGAAAAAAGTAGAAGATATCCCAAAACCCTATTTTGGATTATTCTTAAGGCCCCTAGATTAGTGCCTTAGAGTTGTACATTTTTTTTTTTAAGGTGGCAGCTTCGGGCTTGAAAATTCGAAGGTCTCAATGCTGCCTTTTTTGGGGTATTAGCTGGGGTGGGGCATATCAAACCCTAAACCCTAAACCCTAAACCCCTGAACCCTTAAACCCTAAACCCTAAACCCTAAACCCTAAACCCTAAACCCTATGACGCTTCTTCAACGCTTGGTGCTGGCGTGTCCTCGTCCTTCCTGGTGCAAGCTGCCACTTAAAACCCCTAAAGCTTGGGCCCGAAATCCTGAATCCTTTACCTGTAGGGTTTAGGGTTTAGGGGTTTAGGGTTTAGGGTTCAGGGGTTCAGGGGTTTAGGGTTTAGGGTTTAGGATTTAGGGTTTAGGGTTTTGGGTTTATGGGTTTAGGGCTTCTTGAAGTGACCCTTGTAAATCCCGGTTGGGTCCCTTCAGGGAACCCAAAGGCAGGGTTTTCGGAAGGCAAGTGCGACCTCCAGGTCTTAAGTAATCCAGGTTTTAGGGGGTTTAGGGTTTCAGGGTTTTAGGGGGTTTAGGGTTTAGGGTTTCAGGGTTTCAGGGGGTTTAGGGTTTAGGTTTTAGGGGGTTTAGGGTTTAGGGTTTAGGGGCGATGGCAAGTCTACAATGGAAGCCTAAACCATGTAGGGTTCCTTGTTACATTTGCATGATCAAAAACCCCACAACCCTATTCTAATGATTAAGAAATTAAGGCCCCTAAACCCTAAACCTAAACCCTTATAGTAGCCCTTAAAGAGCCCTCTAAGGAAGCCTTTAAAGGACCCCAAAACCCGGTTCTAATTACTAAGGCCCCTACATCGGGCCCACGAAGCCCGTCCGACCACTTAAATTCGCAAGGATCTGCGTAAGACCCCTACCCTAAAAGTCCATGTAGTCCAATAGTGTATACTTTGGCCCCAAAGTATTCGCATAGGGACTACTTTAAAGTCGTATACTGTTTGGGTACATGAACCCGTAGGGCTAAAGAATCTAATATAGTGTTTGGAATGAATGCTTCCGCTCTTCTCGTAGAGTCCCTTTTGAGTTTTTTTATCAGAAACACCAAGATCCTATTCTAATTAGAAAGGCCTCTGTACTACACTGGCTTTCGAAATAAACCCCATACAAACGTGTCTGTTTTCTGCTCACCAAGGTCGGATCTGTGGGTCCAGTGCCCCACTGAACGGAAAGTCGGGGTTGCTTTGACCCCTCTCCCTAACCCCTAAACTCCTAAACCCCATGAGTGAGGGCTCTTCAGGGCTCAGGAAGCTGAACTTGGGTTAAGGGTGTGGGGTGCAGGGCTTCAAAACCGCCATGCCCTAAACCCCTAAACCCCTAAACCCCTAGAAACTAAACCCGTAGCCGCTATGGCATGTGGTCGCATTGTGCATACAGTTGCGACCCGGCAACTGTCGAAGCTGAAGCAAAGTCGGATTTGTTGTTGATTAGGGGTTTAGGGTTGAGGGTTTAGGGTTCAGGGTTTAGGGTTTAGGGTTTAGGTTTTGTTGTTGATGAGTATCTCCCGACACACCACAAATTTTCGGTTCGACAGGTCTACCTTTACCGGAACCAGAACATGAGCCACATTTCATGTGATGCTTACCTAAGCCCAAAGCCCTACTTTGCGGTTTTGGGTTGCTCGTTTTGGGTGTAAGCGTTTAGCATTATAAGGTTAGGGCGATGGTCAGGACTGCAAGGTCCTGCAACAGACCTTCTGCGCATTGGGGGAGGATGTTGCTTCTGCTAACTGGGTTATGGCTATACATGCAGGTTTGTACGTACCTTTATCAGAGATGTAAGTAGACATACGACTACATTGCAGCTAGCCTACTTCTAAGCTTACCTACTAAAGTCACATGAACCCTCAGGGATGATACACCTCTGAATTGAATCGGTTTAGGGTTTAGGGTTTAGGGTTTAGGGTTTAGGGTTTAGGGTTTAGGGTTTAGGGTCCCTATAGCCTATATCCCTCGGTCAGAGTCCCCAGGAAACCTGATTCACCCCTAAACAAATCCTATCACCCTCAACCCTGGAGGCTGGGTTCTTGTAAGTAAAAGAACCCTAAGGGTCCATGTACCCAAATAGTAGAGCATTGGCCTTGATGTAGTCCCTATTTGGGTACTTT